TAGTAAAGAAATCCCCACCCATTTGTTTTCCTGAGAAATGGCTAATCCACAGAGGATGCCCGGCTCCTCCACATTTCAAGATTAGACCTAGTCTAAAAAGTGGAGACTGTTTCTCAGTGACTCAGATAAGCCCCATCTTCATCCTTTCTTATCATTCTCATAAGACCCTGGATGACTCAGGCCCTCTTTATTTTCTTTGAGGTAATTCTCATTAGTGAACATTCTAACAATTACAATAGCCTGATTAAGAAAATCTCCTTAACTGCCAGGTGCATTTTATCTTTCAGAGTTTGGTACTGTGACTCAGATGAGATTGATCCTCTCCTTTGGATCCCTGCTTACTCCATCCTTGTAAATGGGTCTTCTTAGAGACCTTTGCATTCTGTTCCTGATGGGTGGTCTGGGCTCTCCTAGGGTCTCTGATATCATACTAAGGATTTGATTTTGATTTAGAGTACTCACTTGATTTCTGGTGCCACTCCTTTGATTTCATGGTCTGACCACTTGGTGATTCCTATAAATGGATTGATGGTTCATAGAGATCTTATTTCTTTTGAGTGAAAGACAATAAAAAATCTATTTTGTGAAGAAAAAAATAAAAATAAATAAAAATTTTAAAAAAGGACATTAGGCAGTTCTTCTCTTCCAGAAATTAAGGTGTATTTTAAAGTGACAGTATTAATTTTTTTAAGTTTATTTATTTAGAGAGAGAGAGAGAGAGAAAGAGAGAGAGCAAGCACAAGCAAGGGAGGGGCAGAGAGAAGGAGAGACATAATCCCAAGCGGACTCTGCACCATTGGCAGCGGGGCAGAGACTGATGCAGGGCTCAAACTCACAAACTATGAGATCATGAACTAAGCCAAGATGAAGAGGCCAGTGTTTAAATGCCTGGGCCATCCAGGCACCACTAAAGTGACGATAATTGAAACAATTTGTGCTGCATAGAACAAATTGTAAGATACAAAGAACACGTAGAACAAGTGTAAGATACAAAGTGCAGCCATGGATCCAACTTAGTGCATGTAAACTTAGTATGTAATAGAGGTGGCATATCAATCACTGAGAGAAAGATAAATTATTTGACAAGTGAATTGAGACACTTCAAATAATCACCAGAAGAGACTTACATTCTGGATTTACAACAATATTATGTCCTTAGGACTTAATAAAACAAGTGCAGATGCATGCATGCACACAAATCAAATTATGTGAACTTTAATATAAAAGATTAATTCCAAAGCACTCACAAATGCAAATCATAAAAAGCATAAGATACACCACAGCCAACAAATTGATAAAGAAAATATGCCTTTATCTATTATAATATTTATTATTTTACATGATCTCATTCTGTTAGAATAGTGCTAGTCAATTGAATGAGCAATCATGGCCTGTTACTAACACTCCCCCCATTCTTCTGACCAAAATTCAATGAGTTCTATAATTTAATATTTAACATGATCTTGTTTTTTTGTTTGTTTGTTTGTTTGTTTAACAAAAGCCCTATCAACATAGCTAAATCAGAGTCATTTCTTCGGTAATAAAATCAGACCATCAGCACAGAGTTCTTCCCTCTCTGATTAGAATTGCAGGGATGTTGGGCTTTTTGTTGGTTTACTTGTTTTTTCACTTTAACGCCAGTCAGATTGTCCATTTTGGTCCTAGACTTCCTCCTCAATAATTATGAGAGCCAAAAATAATAAATTGCCAAAAATAATATCTCATCTCAAATTTCTAAACATTCTTTTATGATTATAACTCCACCACTCAGGGTAGACTGGGTCCAGATCTTCTTTGGGTCTATCAGGTAAAGCTGTGATTCACATGGTACAGTGTGAGGTGATGTTATTGTTAAAAGAAACCATTCCAGTCTACCAATAGTGATTTCTAAGCTCATGTTCTCTACTTTTATTTTTTCAACATCAGAAAGAGGACTTGTAATTACAAACAATTTTTTTAATCTATCATTTTTCTAAAGTCACACTGAAACAATTCCTAGGTTGTTTACCTCATCAAACCTCACTATCCATGAAAATCTTTTCCACCTACATCCCAAACTATTTTTGATGACTCTTCCTCTCCTTCCTCCCTCTTTTACTAAACCTTTCCCTCATTACTTCTCTTGCCCCCCACACTCCATCCTTCTCTCAGGTCTGCATTTTTGTCAAAAGAATTTGTCTGGGGGCGCCTGGGTGGCGCAGTCGGTTAAGCGTCCGACTTCAGCCAGGTCACGATCTCGCGGTCCGTGAGTTCGAGCCCCGCGTCGGGCTCTGGGCTGATGGCTCAGAGCCTGGAGCCTGTTTCTGATTCTGTGTCTCCCTCTCTCTCTGCCCCTCCCCCGTTCATGCTCTGTCTCTCTCTGTCCCAAAAAAATAAATAAACGTTAAAAAAAAAAAAAATTTAAAAAAAAAAAAAAAAAAAAAAAAAAAAAAAGAATTTGCCTGACAAAGCAAGATTCTTAGAGAATAGCTCAGCAATGCCAGAACACTACATCATGGGCAATGAGATGTCAAAAGCTAGAAACATCCATTCAGTAAGGATTTTGTCCCATCACATTTGTAGGAACTTAGTAAAAATGCACAAGTGAATGAATGATTACAAAGAGAGAGGGAAGAATTAGCTATAATGTGGAAGAAAAAATTCTATTTAGTCAGAAGACCTAGGCCCTTGACAGAACTCTGATCTTATTCCCTCTGATCTACTTTTACAAAATTACTTTTACAAGGATAAAATTTATAAACATACCTTGTAACTGTACTCTTTTTCTGAATTAGCATAAGTTATTAGTATTCAGTACTGATATGGAATGAATTCATGTAATAGTTTTTAAATTTCCAACACTTCAATCAGAAATCACCAAAGGAAATGATCTGTGTTCTTGGGGTTTAATGCATTCATTTGTACAAACTGTTAATCATAGGGTAAAGTAAAACTTCGCTAACTTAGGCCCCTCTAATTCAGAAATCATCATATGAAAAGCCATCTGTGTAATATGAAGTACTGTGGCTAGGGACAGGAAACACAATAAACCTGAAACTTTCTTCCACTAATTTATTGTATATGATTTAGAAAGGTCCCATAACCTCCCTGGTTTCTGTTAACTTGTGTTTAAAGTAAGCTAAATTATTCAGTCAAGCCATCTTATCATCATATAATTCTGTGATTCTACATGGGCCAAATAGATGATTCTTTTCTACTTTATTCTGTCTAGAAGCAATGGATCTGGGAAAGGAATTATTTTTGTTGGCATGTTTTTTTAATCTGGACATGACTAGGCTTCAGGGATCACATGAATTCGCTAAATTTGGGCACTTATGTTGTGTGCATTTTTCTGGGTAGAGGTACACAGCTTACATGTGACTCTCAAAAAGCTCTGTGAACTTCTCAAAAAAGATTAAAAACCACTTACTTCAATAATGAATTAATGCCAAGTGATTCACATTTAACTTGTAAAAAACAGGCTCACAAGAAGTTTGCTTAATAATACTGTGTTGGTTCTATAACACTCTGTATCCCACATCAGTAACACAACACACTGTTACTATAAGCTACATTTCAAACTTCCATTAATAGCTCTGTCCCCACTTGGTGATGGGCCATGGACTACATCTGTCTAGTTCATCTCATTATATCAAATACCTTGAACGGTGCTTAGCTCTCAGTGAATCAAAGAAGTGAAATGTCTGCCAGTTTATCTCTAGGGGAGAAGATAGCTGGGGAATGATCATCTTTTCTTCTGGGCATGGATTGAGATTCCAGAACTCAGATGATGGAAAAATAAGCAAGTAAAGATAGATAATCTTATCCTCAAGCCAAGCCTTGTAATTTCAATAAAGAAGAAATGGAAACCCAAAATGAGTAAGGGCTAACCAAAAGTGGCAAGGTCAAGACTCAAGTCCTTAACCAATGGTACATGATTCCTTTTATGCCACTACATTGTCCAGCTGAAGGAAGACACAGAACCTAATTATTTTTTTAGTACAAATAAACATGTCACCCAAATTCCAGTTCCTTTCTTTTAACTGAAATTCAATAACTAACTCCTCCATTATAAATACACATTACCATAAATAACCTCTGATTTTTACCTGATTTATTAACATTAAAAAATAAAATAACATGTCTTATTGTAATATAAGTTGTGTTCAAATTTTTTGTCACTGTCATATCTACAGAAGATACTAGGTGCTATAAATAAAATTGCTTTTATCATGCAAACTTAATTAGTTTTCAACTTATTTGTCTTAACTGACAGTTACAGGAGGAAAAGGACATCATTCATTAGTATCTTTTAAAATATATAGTACATCAAATTGAATACATGTTATTTCGTTCCTATACACTTCTGGTAATTGACCTTTAAAACCTAATAACATTTACATTTCTTTTTATCTTTTTACAGGAGTATTGTTTTAAACCCAGCTTATTTCCGAAATCATCTTCGCCAGGCAACAGTGTTTAGATGTCTGGAGAGATATTCAGAAGCTGCTCGGTATGTTTGCTATAACTTTTGTGAAGATTTATTTCAAGTTAAATTAATTTTATTCTCAGCTTCTGGTAATAGCATAATAGAACTTTCCATTTCTCTCATGGAGCATGATTTTACCAGAATTATTGTCTTATAAACGTCAAACCAACAATTATTGACTATCTTTTTCTTTAATTAAAGCCATTCTATGTTCATAACTCTTTGTAAAATTCAAACTTTCCAGCCATGAGGTCACTGATGATGATGGGAAAACTTCCAGGGAAGACTAGAAATGAACTTGACCTCTGCTCTCAAGTAGGTTCCTGGTCCTTGTCATAATGACACAATTCTGTAACTCTCTTTCTTCAGTTCTGGAAATGAAATCCAACCACATGAAAAAGACCTCAGGAGTGCTCTTTCTAGAGGACATGGCATCAGTTATAATGCCAAGTGTTGTTAGAGCTGTCCCAACATTTTGCCTCCTAGACCCCAATATGTTTTATAAAAATCTAACAAAACAGATTTTGATATTCTCATCCCCAGAACGTAGACTTATGGCAAAAAAAAAAAATTGTAAGAATTATGCAACAGCTTCGGTGTCACACTCGAAATTCCTTCTCGCCTATGACAACCAAGGCATTTTTCCTTCTCAGATCAAGCTCATCATATTAGACTCCTCTTCCCTTTGATGAATTTTCGTCATCTCCTAAGGTATAGCTACCTGTTATTTCTTACTTGTCGACTGTAGTATTCCAAGAATTTAGCAAGAAGATCTGAGTGGTTTCTACATTTAACTCCAAGCACAACTCCTAGGGAGATATCTGCAGTAATAGGATGAGAAACCTAGGTTGCTGGTAGTTATTGTCTTTAGAACCTTTAAAAATAACACTTTCTTGGAAAGTGAAGTTTAAGGAATTTAAATGGATAATAAAATGGTTCCAAAAAATTAATATCATAAAGTTGACATGAATTCCGTATTGTATAAGAAGGTCCTAGGAGTTACCAAAACTGAATTAAGTGATGGATATGGAAGGCAGAATTAATCCCAACCATACTGACTTTGCAGTCAAACAACTAATATGCCACAACATCTATTTACCTGTGTGTTAATGTGTGTTTTAAAAAATGAAAATAGATCTTTATCTATCAATCTTTTTTTACATTCTATTTTTCCTTATACTTTTCTCTAATGTATTCCATCGAATGTGCTCACTTATGACTTCTTCCTAAATTTATTTTCTCCACTGACTTGCCTCTGTGACTTTCTTTCCACCCACATACTTTTCCTAACTATGTGAATGAGAGGGAATTTTAGGAGGTGATGGTAAGCTTCCCTCTGTCCCATACTTTAAAAAAAAAAAAAAAGTCCCTAGCTACAAATGAAACCAATAGGTTCAGCATAAACAGATACCACTATCTGTAAAATGATTTTTTGTTTGTTTGGTTTTTTTTCTGAGACACCTGTGTGGCTCAGTCAGTTAAGTGTCTGGCTCTTGATTTTGACTCAGGTCATGATCTCAGGGTTCATGAGTTTAGCCCCGCATCGGGTTCTTCACTGATGGCAGGGAACTTGCTTGAGATTGTCTCTCTCTCTCTATCTCTATCTCTGCCACTCCCTGTTCATGCGCTTGCTCTCTCTCTTTCTCTCTCTCTCTCCCTCTCAAAATAAGTAAAATAAACATTAAAAAAACTTAATAGATTTTGCTAAGAGGTGGTTTATTAATGTGTGTTCTGAGTCTAATCAAAAGATCAATAGAAGGGGCGCCTGGGTGGCTCAGTCGGTTGAGCGTCCCACTTCGGCTCAGGTCATGACCTCGCAGTTTGTGAGTTCAAGCCCTGCGTCGGGCTCTATGCTGACGGCTCAGAGCCTGGAGCCTGCTTCGGATTCTGTGTCTCCCTCTCTCTGCCCCTTCCCCGCTCATGCTCTGTCTCTCTCTATCTCTCAAAAATGAATAAACGTTTTAAAAAAATTTTTTTAAACAAAACAAACAAACAAAAAAGATCAATAGAAGAAGGCTAGATGCAACTTCAGAACTAGATTTCAGCTAGTAAAAAACGGCTAATGGTGTTCTCCGAGCCAGCTGGTACAGACTCTAGAAAGTCAATTGTTAAATATTCTGGAATTTGGGGAGAGCCAGTTATAAAAGTAGAGGAGAAATTAGCAATGCTGGGAGAATTTACACTGTGGAAATTGGCAAATGCTACAAATCCTGGATTTTTTGGTGTGGGTGAGAGCCAGATTACCAGTATATCATAGACTATAGCTTAATTGTACCAAGCGTGATTGAGTTAAAGTTATGACAAAAAATCTTTATGGGTCCTAAAATAAACAAACAATGAGAACTTGAAAATTAGGAATTTGTCAGTATTTGCCATGTAAAATTGGAACTGAATATCCATTGTCCTTGATATGTATATCCCTGCAGTGGAATAAGCATATCTGTTTAATATCATGGGATTACTGACCTGACAATATTCCTTGAGGAAATTCCTGATAATTGTTGGAACTTTGCTGGCATAGACTTTCCTACAGAGAAGCAGATGCAATTAATTTCAGATACATGTGTCTGTCATCTTGGTTTTCTTTGGAATTATAGTTCTCAATATACAGTATTACTCATTATGTTTTCCCCAAGGGAAAGAATGCTATGCACCATGAACATGAATATCATATAGTCCCTTAGCAATTAGGTTTTTACTATAAAACAATAAGTACAAATCAATATATAGAACATTCATGTTTATCAATTAAATTCTTGGAGATAGTTTAGTTCAGTCCTCTTACAAGAATATTATATTAAAATTCACTGGAAAAGCCAACACGTCAAAGTTATTTCCTCTAAAATGCCAAGTAGTCATGTTTCTGAAATTGAAAGACACTTACCAAATAAAAAAAAAAGGCCATTACTATGTGACTTTGGAAATCTGAAAACCATAATTCACAGTGCAGTGGATTATCTCTTTCTGATTCAAGTTAGAATATTTATAACCAGTCCCTAGAAATTGGGCCAGCTAAGGTTTTCTGAGCCTAACCAGCTCCTCTGAGAAAGGAATACCTAGTGAATAGGCCAGAAAAGATCTCCAGGGCAGCCTCATAAAAGCCCAGATTCTCAACCAGAGAGACTAGAAAAAATGCTATAACCTATTGAATGGAAGGTATTAGTCAACTTTACAACAATGAACAAGAATATATAGATGATAAAAAATGAATAAAAATAGGGATATTTTATTTTGGTTTAGGTTCTACAGGGATGCTGGTCATCCTTGAGCAGACAACTGGCACTGGTTAACTGAGGAAAGCACATTTTCAAACCATAAATCTAAATTGAGATTGCTGTAACTCCTCAAGAAACAGCCAACCTGTGAGGCTTTACCTGAAGTAACAAGTACCCTAGCTCTTTAATACCTCTGTTTCGATGCAATGAAAGTATATGTGTTGAAGTAGAATGTCCTTGCTCAAATCTGTCTTTTCTCCCCCAACACACACACACACACACACACACACACACACACACACACACATCATTTGGCACTACCTTCATAAGAAAGATGGTAAGACAAGAAAAATATGCTGAGATGTGAAACAAAAGTAAAGACTATTTTGTGAAGAGAACTAATGGCTTTAAAAAAAATTTTTTTTTATGTTTATTCATTTTTGAGAGAGACAGAGACAGAATGCGAGTGGGTTAGGGGCAGAGAGAGGAGACACAGAATCAAAAGCAGGCTCCAGGCTCTGATCTGTCAGCACAGAGCCCGACGTGGAGCTCAAACTCACAAGCTGTGAGATCATAACCTGAGCCCAAGTCAGATGCTAAACCAACTGAGCCACCCAGGCGCCCTGGGAACTAATGACTTTTGATAATATGAATGGCATGTCTTTTATTTCTATTTGCTCAATGACTTTCACAGAGTTTGGCATATACCAAGCATTGGTTCAGGGTTTACAAATTAAATTAGCCAGTTTTGAGTTTATGATTAAGAACCATTTAGCTGCAGCAGTAAAGAGATGTTACATGAAATTTTTAGTACAACCCTGGTATAAAGATAAATATGAGAGTGTGCACATAATAGTTAAGTTATGGTAACAGTATCATGCCTTCTATAGTTAAGATCTATAAGGCAAAAAAAAAAAAAAAAAAAAAAAAAAAAAAAAAAAAGATACTACACAGAATATTTAGTTAAGACCATGCTGTGTAGGAGGAAGCAAACAGAAGGTAATACCAAAGGGGAAAGTACAACCAAAGCTTCTATCCATCATTAAGGAGGAATTAGTTGTGTATTTATACATATATGAACTAGATGAGGGATACTAGAGCAGTAATAATACATTTAAATGCTCACAAATTGTAGGCTTATGGTGTGTGAAGGAGGCCAATAATAAGATAAAAGGGTTATTGTATTACAGACAACTAGAGACCACAATCTACAATGACCATATAACTTATCTTTTAAACTTGTTAGTGAAAATGGGCACTATTAAGAAATACCAGGAAAACAGGCATAAAATAGGACTGCTATGAGCACACTGGCCATCTGGTCACCTACCACAGCCCTTCTGGAGGGAGTGGCCATATTCAAGTCCAGCTAATGTTGCTATAATCAAATGTAGGTTCAGTGTTGCAGATTTTTAAGTCTTCAAGAAATAATATTTTTCAGAACTTGGCAAGAAGAAATTTCTTAAATTTTAAATGCCAATTATTTCAAGTTTTTCAAATACTGTGTCATCTTAAAAAAACTGAAGTGGTTCCATAAAAATGTAACTCACTGATTTGTTGCAACAAATCTTGTCTGTTCTACCTTTTATTTATAATATTATTATTTAATAATACATTATATATAATACTGTGAGAAATCGATTAGATAATAAAATATGTACCTTTGCCCTTCTTAAAGTAATACACAAGCAATATGTTCCTGTTAATCCAAATCAAAACACAGTACTTTAAGATAAATTAATTTATGGTTCCCATGATAAGCCAGATAGTAGAGTTAGTAGAAGTGGGAGTAGGTGAGTTTCTGGAGAC